CTAGTAAGGCACTTGTTACTAGAAGCGATGCACTTGTTCCTAGTAGCTTCTTGTTACTACTAGTAAGGGACTTGTTACTAGAAGCGATGCACTTGTTCCTAGTAGCTTCTTGTTACTACTAGTAAGGCACTTGTTACTAGAAGCGAAGCACTTGTTCCTAGTAGCTTCTTGTTACTACTAGTAAGGGACTTGTTACTAGTAGCGATGCACTTGTTCCTAGTAGCTTCCTGTTTCATTGTGGCGTGGTGTGTATGTGTGGTGTGGTGATTGGTCCAAAACGGACCATGGACATGTCAGAGATCTTTCCGACCCCGGCCCTTCCTGCGTAGCTTGGAAGTTGCCCTCAACCCTAGTACTGAGTATACATCTACAGAGGCAGCGCGGCCCTTTGGCTTTCGGTTAGGGCTCCGGCTTTGTTCATCATTCGACCAAAAGACATGTTTACATGCAAAACCGCTCGAGATGTCACAGCACACCTCAATCACCTGCGCAGCAAACCTTGTTAAGCCAACGCAGCACCTATCATGAAGCTCAAAATCAAAGCGACGGAGAGGCACCACCATTGCACCAGCAGTGGCAGCAGCAAGAGTAGCAGAAGTAGTCGTGGTGCTAGTGCTAGCAAGGAGTAAGAAGTAGCTTCTTGTTCCTAGTAGTAAGGCCAGGAGTCCCTAGTAGCGATGCCCTTTGTTCCTAGTACGGCCAGGAGTTCAAGTAGTATCCGAGGCAAAACACACCCTTGTTTGGCGTTCCCCGACTTGACTCTTTCCACTTATCTCACAAGAAGCTACCAGGAACAAGTCTATCGCTTCTAGTAACAAGTGCCTTACTAGTAGTAACAAGAAGCTACTAGGAACAAGTGCATCGCTTCTAGTAACAAGTGCCTTACTAGTAGTAACAAGAAGCTACTAGGAACAAGTGCATCGCTTCTAGTAACAAGTGCCTTACTAGTAGTAACAAGAAGCTACTAGGAAGCCCCAACCCTACGAAATGACAAAACATTTCGGGCCTTACTGAAGCCACTCCGTCCTACAGTCTACATGTCACGGTGGACCTGTCCTGATGAGGGCCAGACTATGCGTTGCGATCAGCGTGGTGGGGCGATCTCGTCGCCCCAACACTGCCTTCAAGCGATCGCTACTAGGAGCGATCGGACGCTACGAATGGGGCTCCTGGCCATACTCCTAGGAACAAGAAGCTACTAGGAGCAAAGGGCATTGCTACTATGCTCGCCATTTAGACGTACCTTTTGTAAAAGAACATGCTTCATGCCTTCGGTGCAATTCTTTCTTGTTGCAAGAATTCTTTAAACAAACCTAGTGGAAATCAACATAACATGTTCAAAGACTTCATCGATGTCCAAGCGCAATTTCAACAAGGGCATCGCTATTAGTAGCAAATTTGCTTCTAGTTCCGATTGTCCAATCCGGCTCCACCTCTGCTAGGCTGGCAGCAGTGTTGGCATCGAGGCCGGACCTAGAACGACAAATAGCACCTATCTTGTAACTTAAGTAAGGGACTAGTAAGCTACTACTTTAAAGCCACATAACATCTGTCTGTTTTGTGGATCAAAAACGAAAGAAGAACCTGTTTCTTTTCCAAGCTGCTTCGTATTGGACTTTGCCACCCTTCACATGGAAGAATGGTGCTCTCCATGATGAGAATGCTAGCACCCCCCGAAACATGTTTTTTTTTTTTTTTTTTTTTTTTTTTTTCGAATCTTGTCGAGTCAAACGTGTGATTCGAAACACCCCTGTTTGGAGCTTGGATTCCCGTCGTTGGCTCGTCCAACAGAAGCACTGGGGTCTCGCGGACCAATGCACCTGGAGACATGATTAACCTAATAGCAATCTATGTTAGATCTTGCTTTTTGTTCTTTTTGACTGGGGTGGTAGACCGGTAGTAGAAGTGAGGTAGTAGCTTTAAAGGTAGCTAGTAGCTAGGTAGCTAGCACCTTACTTAAGCTTCTAGTATCGACGGCAAAACAACTCACGCTTCTAATCATTTGGCTTTCAGCTTTTTGGGGAAATTTAACTGCTAGCGATGGCCTCCACCCACGGGGGTGGGGATGGCGTGGGGATCTGTTCTGCATCCACACAGTCCAAACAGACTAGCCGAATTCGCGTGTACACACGATCCGGACTCCGCGTGTACAAACGAACCACAGTCCCTATAAAAGTCCAGGGGCATGTGCGCCGAAGAATGGCACTAACGACCTGGTCTCACACTAATGCCCTTTGCTCCCAGTAGCGTCCTCTTGTTTCTGGTAGTAAGGC